GCCGGCCTTTCTTTTTGGCTTTGAAGGTTTTGGATTTCTCCGCGGTCTATCACAGCGCTGACACCTGTTCTGTGTGTAGGTTCCCGGGGCTGGTCCTGCCGTGCCTGGGGGTTCACCCGGTGCAGGAGGTTTCTCCGGAGGAGCAGCGCAGCGCTGCTTTGAAGGTAAAACACAGGCCGGTGGGGTGAGCACAGCTGTAACATGCTGCTGGGACTGCTCAGGGCTGCCCTGGTCTGCCTGACTTAGCTCCAGATCTGCCCAGGGATTTTCTCTGTGCATCTCTAATACAGAAGACCCAGCGCACCAAGTCCCAGGGTCTCTTAGCACATCCATTTGTCCGTGTTAGTCCTAAAGCAGAATTGTTCACTGCAGTCATCTGGCGGTATGACTGCAGTAAAACAGGTTTTTAAATCCCGAGTGAGTGCGTTGCTCACAGCGAATGGCACGGGTGTGTGTTTGCAGATGTCCCTGTGTTGGCATGGGAAGTGGAAGGCAGCCGTGTGCCCTCAGCCTGAAAAACTCGGAGAGCTGTCTGCAGCCATTAATGTTATCAGGCTTTTTGTGGGCCTTGTTTTAATTACCTCTTCTGCTCCTCTGGAAAGATAACTTGAAATGAGTGGTTATTACGTAAAGAAGGTAAATTCTGCAGGTTTCTAAAATCTGTCTGACTGCACAACTCACAGTAATGGCAAATTTTAAGGTACAGGATTTAAGAACAATGAAGGAAACTCCCAATTTAATAATAATGCTGAGTTCATGCCCCTTCCACCTTGTAAGGGTGGTGAGGGTTGCATCTTTAGTTTGTTCTTGCAGGATCTGGATGATGCATTGCCGCTTATAGAACTCTACAAAGATAAATTGGTGGGGATCGGAGAAGTGAGTAGAATTCTGTAACTTGTTTAGATGTCTATGGCTTTGGCAGCATCTGTCACCAGAATTACAGACACTTAGTGAATACTTGGTTTTGTGTATGTAATAAGTATTAGTATCAGTCTGAACAAGTGCTGAGTCTGATTTGTGATTCTCTTAATGTGCTTTCCATCACAGATTTGCCTGATCTTTTCCTTCATTATCATTATTAGGAAATAGATGGCATTTTTGATGGTGGATTTAATAGGAAGAATTGCATAATTATGCTATATCGTCTTATACCCAAATGCTTTCCAACCTATTCTCTGGCACAGTGAAGTGTTGAGTCGCATTGTTATCCTCCTTCAGATCTTTCCTGCCTTCTTGCCTGACAAAAGTTAGGCTAAGCTATGATTTCAGCACACCTCACCAACTTGTATGGTCCTTTTCGCCTGTGATCCCTTATCTGTCTGTATCCATGTGTTGTCTCCTGTCTTAGATTTGTTTATAGACTAATTGAGGCTTGGAAGCTTTAGGGTAGAGTCTGCCTCTTTTGTGTGTTGGAACCGGAGGGACTTATGGCTGGTTCTGCACTGGCTGCAGAAAAAGCAGTTATTGTCAGAGCTTTGTAACTACACTTCCCATGTTGTCTGTGTACTGTGTATCAAGGACTTTGGTTGGTGTAACTGTGAATGGGGCTGCTTTGACAAACTTTAAATTTTGCCTGAACGTGTTTAGATCAAAACCGTATAGAATTAATGGGTAACTTTTGCTAGAGATAGGGTTAAAGCTACAGGTTCAGGTCAGAAATTTTACTTGTATTGGAGATACGTATTTGAGATTTAATCTAAAATAATGTTCAATAGAATATAAAACCCCAGAAAACCAGTTACAGATTACAAAGTTATATACATTTGTTGGTAACTGTCTGCCTGTAAATGCTTTCATAGGTAAAAAACTTATGGTTGAGAATGGATTCCATTCTGAGTTAAGCTACAGTTGAGCTCATTTGAATTGCACTCTCTAGTATATATGTTTTGAAATGCCTTGCAGTATTGAAGCTTTTTTTTTTTTTACCTTTATATATGGTACTGTGGTTTAGTCAGCCTTTAGGACTGTAAAATTTTTTCACTTCTCTTCTTGTACTGTAGGTTGGACTAGATTTCACTCCCAGATTTGCCAGCACAGAAGAACAGAAGGAAGGACAAAGACAGGTTTTGATCAAGCAGATTGAGTTAGCAAGAAGCCTGGATTTGCCTTTGTAGGTTTTGTTTGTACTAGTAGGAGAATTTGCCAGATCTCAGTAACATGTGGAAGTATTTCCCAGGGTTTATAATTACTAAGAGCCCGCAGAACTTTTCTTAGATGAATTAAACTGGCCTTAGTGTCCTGTCAGTCTCCAGTTTTGAGATTTAATGATAGAATTTTCCTTATGTTTGAATACAGGTCTTCTGTGTCCTGTCCTTGCTATGTTGTTGCTATATCTTCAGTGTAGCTAAAATTATTCTTATATATGTATCTAGATTTTTTTGTCTGATAAAAGGTGTAATAGATATTAATTATTTTCTTCCCAAGCTGCTCTTAGTTTGCTTATGTTTACAAAAAAAAAAAAAGGTATTTTGTTGCATTTCCTAATGCTGGGCCTCTCTTTGCTGTGCAGAAATGTTCATTCCCGCTCAGCTGGAAGACCAACCATTAATCTCTTAAAGGAACAAGGTATGTTTTTAATGCAATTTCTCAATCATGGCTTTTGTCAACGGAATTCTTCAGTTGTTCTGTGTCCTCACATGAGTTTGCATACATTAAACTTGGGAGGGATAGCACAGAGATTCTGTAGTCATTCTTCAAGGGACCAAGGTCCCATTGAAACTGACATGACTGACCTACTGTAAACATCAGGAATGATTTGTTTTGCTTCTTTTCTCTGAGGCGCTACAAAGGTGTTGCTCCATGCATTTGATGGGAAGCCATCTGTAGCGATGGAAGGGGTGAAAGCTGGATACTTTTTCTCCATTCCTCCTTCCATTATAAGGAGTGAACAGGTAACGTTTAAAGGGGTTTGCTCCTTTTCGGTGCTTGAGGATTGCAGGCAATACCTGACAGCTTGTCACAATGGCAAACATAACTATTTTCACTGTGCAGCTCAAGAATATGGTTGGTTTTTAATTGTGTACAGTGTGAAGTGGGACTAGCAGTACCTGCGTACAGCTGCTGTCACCTGACCCTTCTTGATAGAAGTTTCAGTTGCATATTTTGACTTTGGCTAAATTTCTACCTGGGGCTTTTTCCTTACCTAGATTTCTGGGGGGGGAAGTTTTGTCTAGAACAGTTCAGTTGCTCCTCAGAAACAAGGGTTAAGAAAATAGGCCTTTACTTCTCATGTGGTTTCTGTTGAACTCTTCTTTGGAAGCTTCTGTCACTGTACTGTTTTAGAGTAGGCGTGTGACACGTGGAAAAGGACTGGTTTCTGTCTCAGTGCTGTGGCACTTTTTATTCAAAAGGAAATCTGCTCACAACTGGCTAAATTACAGACCTTTGAAAAATTGTGATTATCACAAGATGTGCCCAGCAAAGAAGCAGCTAAATTGCTTAAAGACCACGTTGGTCAGGTTCAGCCCTTGATTTGATGAGACTGCCCTTTTAATTTCTGCTCTGGGCTGCTGCAAGCTATGCTAATTTCTTATTTTGAGGTGGCATTCTGTTTCCATCCTGCACCATCATCATTTTCTGTGATAAGTAGATCAGGAAATATAAGAAAGGAAAAGGCACGATTCAAGTGGAGGGAGTGCGAGGGGCGAGGGATGGATATAGATAGGGATGAGGCTAGGAACTTGGAGAAAGGAAAGCAAACTTGAGTTGAGGGGTAAAAGCAGAGATGGGAAAAAGGTGTACTAATATTGTATGTACAGAAAAATATCAAATTAAAGTTGCATTGCCAACTGTAAACATAGGGTACTTTGTGCAATATAGCTACATGATTTAATAAATAACAATGTATTGGGTGTTTATATAATAGTACTTCAGATAATCCTAATTTGAAGGGACTCCTTGAGCAGCTCCTGATATTTTTGCTTTCATTCTGAAATTGTTGATAAAATGCAGACAGTGGCACCGAAGTCCTTTGACATTGCTTTTAAATGCAGAGGATGTCCTCCCTTCATACATTTTACCCCACAGGTCTAGGTGCATAAAGCGTTTAATAGCTGTCTTATTTTCCTCAAGAAGCAGAAGCTTGTGAAGCTGTTACCTCTGGAAAGTATGTGCTTGGAAACAGACTCTCCTGCTCTGGGGCCTGAAAAACAGGTAAATGATGAGGGGAGGGACTTCTGTGTATGTATATCCAAATCCACACTTCAAGGAGGTCAGTTACTGGCACGGGAGAGTGAAGTAGCATAAGCACAGACAAGGGACAAAAGAGGTTGCCAAGTCAGAATGTTGAGATTAAAAGGTCTGTATTCCTGAGTCTGGGAAAGGAGAAGAAATTCTAGGAATGGGCAAAGAGGAAAATAGTCCAAGAAGAATAGATACCTGTTATTTCTGTGAGGTGACTGAAGTCATGTCAGGAAGTATGAATCTGAAACACCTGTCATCTGTAGGGATCTGAAATTTTTTCTGTTGTGGTTTTTTTTTTTTTTTAGGTGAGAAATGAACCAAAAAATATTTACATTGCTGCAGAATATATTGCCAAAATTAAAGGAATTCCAGTTGAAGAAGTTATAGAAGTGACTACACAGAATGCACTGAAAGTATTCCCCAAACTTCGGAACTTTCTTCGGATATAGACTTAGAAAATGAACTATATGGTATTGCAGAAACTATTATTTATGGTATAATAAATAAAACCAACATGCATCTTGTCTTTCTGAGACTCCTTGCTCAGCTGCTTGTAGCCTGGGAGATGGCTAATGTGTGGTGCTTAATGTCCCCCTCATTCCTTAATTTCTGCTGACTGGAAGTCACTCTCTTGTAGGCCCACTTACGCGATACGTAAACTCCTGTTAGGGCTTGCAGAGTGCATGTTGTTATCTGAGCCATTAAAAAACCCCAGCTGTATGTCACTTTTACTGGGCTCTGTTTGTGGTGCAGAAGCAACACCTCTGATTTCTTTGAAAATGCAATTGGAAGGTAAGAATTGTAGCCCTGCTACTCCCCTCCTTTTTCCTTGTATACAGTAACTTCACAGCTGCTCAACCTTCACTGTTTTGAGACGGGCTTGCTTGGACTTTTTAAAATTTATTTTAATTTTTTAAAATCGTGTTCAAAGGAAGAACTCTGGGTTTGGTATTATTTCAAGGATTTATGCTTCTGACTGCTCGATGTCGGGAGACATGGGATCTGAAAGGGAGACAAGTTAAGTTTGCTGAGATCTTGGACGTACCTGTCTGCTGTGGATTCTGCTACGTTGGAGAGCGTCCTAAAAACTGAATGCTGTGCTCCTTGCAGCACCTGTGTGGGTGTGGGCCTTTTGAAATACTGAGCAAAATTTTGCTGACTATAAGCCAGCAATGAATGAGGTGAATTATACATGACACTCAGTTGTTCTGAGAGCCACTAGGGAAGCAGAGACTTTGTCTCCCTAGGGGGAGTTTGACTAGCTCAGTGAAGAAAATCCACAAGTATTAACTTAGTCCCTGACCACCTCAGGTACAAAATCATGCATTGTACCAGCCCATGGTGAGAGCATTTGGCTTTAAGATTTGGGCATGTGTCTTCTATGTCTCGGGTGTCTATATGATTATTCAGATTAGATTCCTTTGTGTCTTTGTGGTTAGAGCATCTTACCGGTTGCCCCTTTGCAAAATGGTTTGTAATGCCCTGTTCTGAATTCATCTGGTATCTGCCTTTTGGGGTACCAGACTGCAAGGCAAGGGTTTCGTTTTTTTTTTTTTTTCTGTTTTGAGGAGGATGCAGATGGAAGTAAATGGGAGTAAAGGCTTGTAATGTGATACCCTTCTTAAACTTTTGGTTTCCTCTATGTTTTCTTCCTCAATTTCTTAAAACCCCATCTTCAGGAAGTTTTTTTCCCTGTCTTTGGCAGAACGGCTGTGTTGTTCTGCTTTTTTGCCTGGAGCTAGCTTATTAAGTTTAGACATATGTTCCTAAGCAGTTTTTGGCCTGCAGCAAACAACCAAACTTGCGTAATTTGCCACTATTACAATGTGTATTCAGATCAGCAAACACCTGAATCTTTGCTGAATATTTGACCCAGAATAGACAGAGCCATTTGTTATCCTCAATCTACAAGCACCATTTCCACTAAATTGGGTTGAGGATAACAAATGGCTCTATCTACAAGCACCATTTCCACTAAATTGGGTGAAGGGCAGAGTTTGCCTGCAGATGGTGCTCGGGAACAGGTGTGCAGTGCTCTTAAGAATATTAAAGTGATTGACATTAATGATTAATAATCATGTTGTTACCAGAGATGCTAAATGGGTGATAGCAGGCAGCCTTACATGTGCTTCCTGCTGGCCTTGTTACCGGAGATGCTAAATGGGTGATACCAGGCAGCCTTACATGTGCTTCCTGCTGGCTGTGGGAAGGGAAGGCTCGGTATTGCATGGGAATGTAGCTACGTATAGAGATGCTCCCGGTAAAAAGTCAGGCAGTGTCCAAATGTTTGCAGAGCTTTGGCCTTATTATTCTCTATGAAATTCTTAGCCTTGGATGAAAACGCTGGTTTTGGACAAAGGGGAATATCAGGTATTCAGTCTGCTCAAAATCCCTCTTTCTGCAAGGGGGTAACAATGTCAGGCTTGACCTGACAGTCAGATGATACCTGGCCTGAGCTCCTGAATCGCTTTTGCAGCTGCAGCGCCATAAAAACCTGTAGCCACGCTCACGTCCTGCAGCTCCCAGCTGGGAACAGCACTGCTGAGGGTGGCCAGCCCTGTGGGGGGCTCTGCGAGACAACCTGTGTCCCCTGTCCCTGCAGCAGCTGGGTCCAGAGGTGCTTGCGGTGGCATGGGAGCATGGTCAGGGCTGGGGAAGGAGAGATGGAGCTGCTTTCCCCCAGGCAAAGGGCAGCTGCCACTGCAGCAGCCGTGGGCAGGGCGAGCCTGGCAGGGCGCTTGTGGCAAAACAGACTGGCTTTGTCCTCCGGCGCCTGAGCTAAGTCATGGTGTAGGTGCCCTGGTGCCTCAGAAAAGGAAAGTGCAGTGTCATTCCCACCCCATCTCCGCATCCCTAACAGCAAACAAGGGTCAGAAGGAGCACCCTTTCCCTGGTGCCATTGGTTTTGCTGCACGAGCTGTGCCCCAGCTGCCTGCAGCCAGCACTGAGGGGGCCCCCGGTGCTGGAAATAAAGTCAGTTTGCACAGGAAACCCAGCTTTTGAAGGTGCTCACTCGGGACTGGTGGTGGCTCACATTTCGGGAGAGGAAGTGTCGTTTCTGAGATGGAAAATATCGTTGATCTCTCGTCATCTTGTGTCTTTACCTTGAAAGCGGGCTTTATCAGAGAGCTCCCGTTTCTGCCAGCAGTCCCGGGCTGGTGCCTGGTCCGGAGGGGTTTGGGAAGGCAGGATGGCGTGTGGGGAGCCTTGTGACTGACTGCACATCACAGAATCACAGAATGGTTTGGGTTGGAAGTGACCTTAAAGATCATCGAGTTCCAACCCCCCTGCCATGGGCAGGGACACCTCGCACTAGCCCAGGTTGCTCAAAGCCCGGTCTAGTCAGTCATGAAACCCTCCCCACAAAGAATGGCCTTGGCAACATCAGCGTGTGTGCTGAACCCTCTCAGGCTGCCTGGACAAGCCATATCCCCTCCTACGTAGCACAGGATGCTAGCATGGCCAGGGACGTCCTGGGGGAAGGACCCAGCGCAGGTTTAGCTGGATGGTGTGTTTAGCTTTCAGGAAACCTGAGGGGAAAGGAGAGAGAAAGCACAGAGTTAATGGAGACCAAGTTTTCTTTTCAGTCATGCCATTGATTTGTGGGGACTCTAACAGCCCCGGTGACCTCTGTCTCACAGAGATGACATGGCACAGACGGTCTGCAGCAGCATGGAAAGCAGCAGGTCCCAAGCTCCATCTGATACCTTTAGCCATCACCTTTCCCTGGGATGCTACAAACAGCAGACCTGATTGCACTTGGTATGATTCCTCATGTCTCTTTATCTTGCAGGATATACATGGTGTGATAGAAAAATCAAGAAAGGTTTGTGATTTCTTTAGCATAAATAGTGCCTTCAGAGTGCCTCGCTCGTTCGTCAATACTGTTATTGATGCAGCTCTGGCTGATACAGCTTCTGCCAGAAAGAAAATCCCCATGTTGCTTGGTTCTTTCCAGGCTTAAAATATTGCATGCAGATACGCTGTGTGCACGAGGGACTCCCACATGTGCAAGGGCTCACAGGGTGTGCATCATTTAACACCAGACATAAGTAATGAGGGGGATGCAGGGTGATGGTAATAATGTGAAGGTACTTTCCATAGGTTGAGGTGCAGAGTGTGTAGATCTAGAGGGCTTCTAAAGTGGATTTGTCTGTTGACAGAGACAAAATAGTGGACCAGTGTATACTGTCAATGGCTACGAAACCACACAGAGGTACTTTGCACCTTCCTTGTTCAATGAGCACCTTGAACCAGTAGTGGGGGCTGGAACGATGCTGAAATTGCAAATCCTCGGCTGGCTGGTGCGCCATCGCCCTTTTGCCACCCACGCCAAGCTGTTTGCAGGACTTCTGTGGAACAAGGCTGAAGTGATTCTGCCTGAAGGCCAAGTGACTTGCAAGAGTGGGGTGGGTATAGTAGAACTAAAAGGTTCAGCATAAGTCACTTGAACTCCTTGGATCCTGGAAGTCCCCTCTGAGTTCAGGATCAACAGCTGAGGGTCTGTCTAAGGGCTCTACCTGTGCTCACTCAAATAGTTTTTGGAAGGCTGTAGGAACATACTCCCAGCTCCTTTCTTCTGAAACTTGCTTTTAGTCGTGAACTAACAAGCTGTCAATCTGCTGAACTCTGGAGCAAACCGGGGGGGTGGTGAGTTTTTCCAGATTTTGACATGGGAACAAGCGAGGAGATGGTGATGAGGCCAAGTGGATGAGACGCTGTTTAATCCTGCTGTTTATTGTGGTAAGAGTTTAAACAAATCGACCAAAGACTTTTACTGGAGATGCTTCCGACAGGCTCCTATGCAATGCATAGATAGGCTCTTTAGAGGCAAAAGCAAATAAATAATTGGCTGGAAATGCAACTTTCATCACTAATGAACTTCTGCTTTTGTTTGTTTTTTCATTAATGCAGGCTGAGGTTCCAGCTTCTGTTCCCATTACAGAGCAGGAAAATGAATTTGAGAGAGTCACTGGCTTAGCAGAAAGGTTTGTTGTTCTTCTCCCTGCTTTCTATATGCAGTACAAAGATACAACTGAGATCAAAGAGAGGATATGAATTGCCATAGAACCTACTTGTCTCAGCATTTTCCTCTTCAGCAGGTGGTTATCCATCCATTCATTTCTCTGCTGGGGTTGGTTCTGTCGGTGTGGATCAGTTGGGGCACACACACAATAACTCTCACTGCACTGTGTGGTGGCCTGGCCTAGTGAGCTGCTGTGAATGACAATACAGGGAGAAAACATAGCGAGAATCATGGCCCTGATGGACCTGTGCCAGGGGCAGGAACCAATACCCATCCTCAAGAACACTTGGTGCTGCCAACAGGGTGCTTAATGCAAACATAGGAGATCAGTGCTGCTATTGCAGGTTTGCTGCAGGTCTGCTGATGAAAATGGTGATGTGCCTCACCCAAAAAAGCATAAACAATGAGGCACTGGGACAAGGGAGTCTGTAGGAGCAAGGTGTAGCCCCTCTCTGCCCTAGAAAACAGCAGAACACACAGTTCCGGTGTTCGGCTTGGCAGCC